ACTTTCATGGATTGGCTTGCGAATGAAGGGGAAATTAGCCTCCCACTTTCAGATTTGAAAAACTCGGAACTGGATTGCTGTTGTCCGTGCACATTCTAGCGACACGATCGACAACGTAAGGCTTCTTCTTTCAGCATTTGACAAAATTTCACACAATTCTTCTGGAATTGCAGGAAATGGTGTTCCGCGGCTTCTGTCGCGATACAATTGACAGGCATGTTGGCAGAGGCCTCGACCCCTCTTTGTGGAAGGTTTGCTTTTAAATTGCTGATAGGAGTTTTGAGTCACCGCAAATAAGAAGTCAAAACAATTCGAAAGCCATTTGTGGTCCTTCTCTCATTCGTAAAAGCAGATTTATATTTGCAAACTCTTTCTCTGAAAACATTGGTTGATGGTATTAGGTGAAAAGCCAATCCATGGAAGTATACCTGTCACTTTTTTGAACGTCGTCAGCAGAGAAGCTCTCAGCTCCCTTGAAGTACTTGCGAAGATCCTGATGATTGGTGAACAAGCTGGAGAAACAGCATATAGTTTTTGAATAAGACTGATAGATCACTGTTTAAACTTTACTCACTACTTGTAGAAGTCCTTGCCGTTTTGGGCCTCCTTGGGTGTTCTTCCAAGGGGCACTGTTGCCAGGGAGGCCACGCAAGCTTTCTTAATGTCAGCCATTCTGAAAAGCAGGAACAGTAGAAGTAATCCGATGGGAACTCCTCACCCTTGATTGGAGCAACTAAGGCAGGAGTAGGAATGTAGCATAGTTGGTAAACGGAACGCTCACAAGTACTGTGGAGAAGAAGTGAAGAGAGGCTGCCGCTGAGTTTGTAATAAAAGAAATGTAGAATTGAGATGTCCCCCTCGGAGTGGATCCCAGTGTCAATCCTAGGTCACGCTCCATCTTCGTGGTTGCATAAGGACCACGTTAGGATTGGCGGAATTCGGTAAGCAATCATCTAGACATGTTGCCTAATTCAGTGAAAGAGCATTGAGTCCCCGATTTCCCACTATGCTGTTTGTGACCTATTCAGAACAATATTGAATACACAGGACTAATAAGTAGAAAGATGGTGCAGGGAAAAACTCTATGAGAGCTGCAAAGGCCGCTCTGTATTTGGGAGATACTGCTGATGGCACAGCAAAAAGCTCAAGCCATTCATCTCTAGAGGTGTGTTCTAGAGATTGAGGTGAGGGCTGCTAGATGGCGTTTCGCTGTGCATTTATACACCTCAAAAGAGGCGGTCCCGCCAACTGCTCCGATTCCCTTTTCGAAGATGTCACGTTGTCTTCACCGAACGATCACTGATTTCATAGTGAACTCAAGGACTCCAGGGCTCTCGGCAAGAGCGATCTAAGCAATCCATGGTGACCCTTGTAATTTTGTTATTGCCCTCATGTGCAAGTAGTTGAACTCACTTCTTACTTTTCAATGCCTTATTCTCCCGGCCCTCAAATAACGATGCTTCTGGTCAGGTGTTAGGGGACAAATGGCGAGTGGAATTATCAAAATAATATGAACCCTATGACAGTTGATTTCCCTCTGGAAGGTAAATCTCCGAAAGATCAGCACATAAATGCAATATTTGAGCAAGCAGGCCTTTTTGGAATTAAAGAATTCCCATAACTCTTACTGATGTGGATACCTCTACAAAGGTATCGTTAAGGCTCGTTTCTGCTGTAGTAGCTCTTGGCAAGACGTCTCCTCGAAGACGCATTCTTGTAGAACTAGACGTGGAGCAGAAGTAGTACAATATGTCTTGGGCTAGCATTCAAATGTATTACTTGACACTTGAAGACCTCTCATTTTCGGTATCAGGCTTTAGCAACGCTCTGGTCATTACATCCTCATGTAGACCACTTCTGACTTTTGATTACTTTAATCATTGCTTTGATGAATGGACTCCTGAAAATGAGTTTGCCCAGAAAGAAATGGCTTTGTTCTCAAAACGACGTAGCTGGACACGAAACCACAGGAAGTTGTGTGCGAGATTGAGTATACTTAAGAAGGCGTGAAGGCAACCTCATTCGTGCTTTCGAGTGCACGGAGACCACTTCCGAAAAAATGTGAAAGAACAAACGCATCAAGGATCCGAACCCTCGACTCCAATCAGAATCTCGTTTCGAACGCCAGTTCTACCTACATTTTTCACTGATGCGTTTTTCTTGCTCGATTCAGCCATCCTTCCTCATCATGCCACTCTCGCAAAGCATACCAAGTGTGTTGGGATTTAAAGATTCTTTTATTCTCAAAAGCGCTGTACTTGTAGATATTCAAGAAGCACATTCTTCCGTCGGAACTATTGGGAAATGCACACTCGGCGCCGATTGACATCTCCTGCGTACTGCGTCATGCACCCGACTCCCACGCAGATGTGTTGAGAAGGTGTAACTTTTCAGGTAAGGCTTCCGTACAGCAGGTGTGCTCCTACCGTTCAGAAGGGTCCGAGCGTAAGCTGCTGTTTTGTTCATCAATTCCTGATGCCGTCGTAGGCGCCTACCTTGTCTATTGTCGTTGCTGTTCCCCACTTCTGTGCATGCAACTTGCCTCTGGCTTCGGATGTCTCTTCCGGTGTTCTTTGCAGAAAAAGCCATGAGTAAATCTTCCATCAGTCAATGATTGCACGACGTCTCAGCACTGATGCTCTTCCCACCTCTGAATGAGCCCTGCGCTTACGAATCCTGTCCCCTTCTGATCCGCAGTCAGGTAAGACCCCCTCTGGTTGTCATTTCCACACCGATAGCATGCCCTGTCGGTAATGACGCGACTCCGAGCCTTCCACGCCTGCTGACACTGCTCCGCTGCTCTTGGCGATATAAATTGCACATGTGATCAAAATAGCAAGCGTTTTTTGTGAACAGTTCACGTGCTGTGCACGACTGCATTCTCAACGTAATAGAACGTAAAGTGAGAAGTAGCACATGGTCAACGAAGACTAGGTTGCACGAAAAAAGCAAAGTGCGAAACTGACGAATGGCTACTTTATGAGCTAATTTTCACGAATGATGAATGGAGGAGCTCTCCCGGACCTCTTTTTGCAACGTTGCCAGAGCACATCATCATCGGGGATTCCCCAAAAGAGGGTCGTAGTCGTATTCGCTGTTGCTGGGGTAGGGGCGTATTTCCCTTTTGCCTCTCAGGAGAGGTTGGTGAACTTCTCTGATCTGCCTTTCAACATGTGCTTACACCCTCCTCCCCCACCCTCCCGCTCGACAGCTCGGATCAAGCCAACTCCAAGGTGGGGGGGGGGGTAGCACGGACTCGGGCAAATCCACAACCAATGATGCGCCCTTAATGTTGCTGCCATATGCATGAAGATGTATAGTGGGAATGTCCGGTGAAGTTGTGTAAACCATTTTCTGCAGTATCATATTCTTCTTGCCGCAGTCTAGTAGTAAATCCACCTTATAATAAGTGAGACGATCATGCGCTCAATGGATCATTGAAAGACTATGGAATATGAGCAGGGATTTGACAGAGAATTTCGCTGAGAAGGCATGAAATGCAATGTTCATTGCCCACTTGCTTACGAGTTTCATACCCAGAAATGTTGCAGAAGTGAGCACGTATGCTCAGCAGATACCTTTCGAGGACTTACAGTCTAGTCATTGTGGAAGAGAGGGCGTGTCAAGCGCGACAAGTTTGACGTAGTGCCAAACTTCTCCTTCTGTTGTTGAAACGAGTAAGAGAGCGAGTTCATGACAGTGTCCTGACTAAAGGCAACACAGCTTTTGAGACTTATGTGTGCTTTATTTGCAGGTTGTAAGGCAAGGAATCATCCGGTAATTTGTTGAGTGAGATGTAAGTGGAATGAAGGATAAAGGCCTTTGATCAGTCCCTTAGTGAGATGCGACAAGCATTCCACTTCCATTCAGAATAGTAGTGGCTTACTGAATGCGAGCCAGCCGATGTACAAGTCAGTGTTCTTGTCCTCCCAAACGAATCTGTTACCAATTTACCGTCCCCGGGGGTAGAAGGCTTGGTTGGCCTGGGCGGGAGTCGACCCGGGATTCGAGCCCGGGACCGCGCGAGTGGTAAGCGCGCCACTTGTCACTACACCACCTCTTCCTCATAGGTGGAATAAGCAAATTAATCCTTTGAAAACGCTTCATCAAGAACCTAATCCTTTGAAAACGCTCCATCAAGAACTATACTGACTCCAAGCATGATAAAAGTGGATTCAGTTGGAGGAGATGGAGCAATGTCGTCCTCTTACATTGTCATGAGACGTGGCGCTTTTATAAAGCACTTTCAAATAGCGGAAGCAGGACATGCTCTGCGACTGCGGGCATCAGCAACGAAGGGCTTCTGTAGTGGTTCTAAGGTAGTAGCCAATGTTCTTCGGAACAACCGCTAGCTTACACGACTCTTATGTGGCACAACGAGGGGCCTAGTTGCAAAAGCGGGTAACCTGCAGACGAAAAAAGAATGTAGGAGTGAACAGTTGGCCCAGGAAAAGCTATCGTCGCTACCACTCCCCTTTCAGCTTCCTGATATTAACGATAGCTCATGCCTCGCTGCGGCTTCATGCCGCGTAAGAAAACGAAAGCTGGTTGATTCTAGAAAATTCTTCGATGACCTTGTGGAAAGATCTGTTTCTTGTGCGAGTAGCCCGGCCCCACTTTCGCGGCTACACAGTGAGTGGTGACGTCGCTGTGGTTGTATAATACGTGCAAAATTATAGGGGCACTCCAGATTTTCCTCAGAGAACCTGCTATACTTCAACGAAACGCTTTAGTTTTCACTGGAATTCTCATGGCGAAAAACCTCAGACTCGCTCTTCTGGAATAATTTCTCTTCTGACTAGCTCGGATATTTTTTGATAAATGAAGTTTCACAATTTAAACGCAGGTCCACTCACAGAAACTTTCCATTGTTTATCACAGAGACGTAATCCTTTCTGTGGAAACCTGAATGGGTTAACAAAATCGTGGATATCATGCCTTTCGCTACTTAAATTCCGTGGATAGCTCTGAAATACTGTGGAGTCGATTCCAAGGATAATAAAGGCTCCAATCAAACCTAGTAGTGTAAGCAAACCGAATTACGGCCCTGGTTAGTGTTTTTTTTTGCTGAATTCCCACTATCTGCTCACCTTTCCACTGTATTGCTGTTGAACATAACTTCAGAACTTGTTTTATTATGATAACTGCTGCTTGACGCCGCATCTCGCGTTCCGAAAGTTACCACAAGAATGCTGAGTTATGGGCAAAAGTCGAACCCCAGGCGGGAGTCGAACCCGCACTCACGCTTTCCGGGCGAGTGCGCTATCCGTTACGCCACCAGGGCCGCTTTTACCCTCTCAGCTCAGCGGCTTAATTTTCACTTTAAGCAAAAGTTTGGCGTGGGATAAAAACTTCTGATATGGCGACTCCACTCCTCCCTACTGAATGGCGGGTCGAGGTATGTGCTATCTTCAAGTTTGTATGTAGCGTGTCGAGCCAGCGCTGTTTGGCACGACCTTTCGGTCGCTTTCGAGCTGTACACCAATTTTAGGAACGGTGTCGGGCTTCGCGTAAAGCACATGACTGTAGCGTCCATAGCGCGTTTCTCGCATTTTTTTCGGGTAAACTGGCCGCCGAACTTCTCATGTACGACGTCGTTGTAGGTGTGCTCCAATCACGTGACACCCGTCCAACATTTTCATCTGCAGCACGTTAAAGTGCTTCAACTTCTT